TATTTATTATTAGCTAAGGAAGTTGCAGGGGTAAGTCATTGGATTTAAATTGGTTATGGAATAAAATGTACTTAGTTTTACTGATATTCAATGAAAGTTTGTTTGATTTAGCCCAATCATTAAGGTTTTCGAGCTCACAATTAACTGTAAAGGAAATTGACTTTAAGTTGGAATGGGTATAAAAAAAATTAATGTCATCAGCAAAAAGAACAAAATTAAGCGTGTTTGAAGATAGATAGATATCATTTACGTAAATCAGAAACAATAAGGGTCCAAGAATAGAGCCTTGAGGAACTCTGCAGCTTATTGTTTTTAATTTTGTACATGTTGAATCATAAGATACTCCTTGTTTTCTAATTTTTAAGGTACCTTTGCAGCCATTTTAAGTAGTTATTTGTTGCTCCATATGTTTCTAGTTTGTACAAGAGAATTTTATGATCAACAGTGTCAAAAGTTTTTGACAAATCAATGAACAAGCAGAGTGTAAAACTTTTTTTAGCAAACCCATCGAGTATTTGACGGGCTAAATCATTTACTGCATGATGTGTTGAATGCCCTTTCCGGAAACCAAACTGATTGCTGAACAAGATATTATGTTTTTCAAGATAACTATACAGTCAGTTATATATAATACGCTCAAACAATTTTGAAAAACAAGAAAAAATAGATGTAGGTCTGTAGTTAGATGGTATGGAATCGTCACCATTTTTGTATACGGGGACTACTCTTGCTATTTTTAATTGACAAGAAAAAATACCAGTTAAAATTGAAAGATTGAAGATAAACTAAAGAGGTAATTTAATATCATCAAAAACAGCTTTAAGAACAATAACATTAATATCGTCAAACCCGGCACTTTTATTTATTTTAAGCGCATTAAAGGATGCCTGAAGTTCATTTAGAGACAGTTCCGACTCATCCATTACATAGTGAGTTTTTTTAAATAGGATTGGATTGTTTTTTTTCCTTAAAATACGTATAAGCCTTAACATGCTTATACGTATTTTGAGAAAAATACAATTAAAAAAAAAATGCTAGGAGAAACTCTTTCTTAAACGTTTTTTAAAACGATAATGCTTTATAAACTTTTTCAGAACTCTTTGAAAATATGTTTTTGATAACGTTTGTAGACATATAAACCATCTTATTTTGTAAAAAAGTCAGAAGTGATATTTTTTGACGTTAAGGCATTTTGAAATGCGGCTGCAGAAACACCCATTTAAAATACATATAACTTTTTAATTTCAATTTGATTTATTGTTACTAAATTTATGTAAAGAGTTTTTTGAATTAATAATTTTATCATACTTAAGATAAACATTTTCACCGTTTGATAGCCTTTTCTTCACTTCCACCAATAACATTTTTCTTATTTCCACAGTTTTACGAGAAAAGTGTTCGTTCACATACACGTTAGTTCCTTTAAGCTAATATGGTTCTTTCAGAACTTTTTCCTTGTCTTTATACCTCAACAAATTAATAATAATCGTTCTGCAGCGTCCATTTCTTTTTAACCCTGTTTGATGAGCCCGCTCTACATCTATTCCGGTTGATCCTAATTTTTTTGCGAAAAGCGATTACAGTTTTTCTTCTGTTTCATTCCAGCTTTCTTTTTCAGTTTCCAACAACTCATCAGTTGTTAGTTGTTTTTTTTTTTCTGGATCTATCTTCAGATATTCTTTGTTTTTCCCTGATATTTACACTGAATGATGTTTCTTTCCTTGATTTTTTGTTTTCTCGTTCGTTGATACTGGCAATTTTTTTATCAAACAGCTTCTTGTGAAAATTCAAGCTCAACTTAACATCTTCTACATCTTTAATTAACAACTCCATTTTGTTAGAATTATCATTAAGTTTTTGTTTAGTTTTTTCTAGTCTTTCATTGAATATCTTGGTGTTTGCACTTAAAATATCGATAACAATTTTTTCTTGCTGTTTCAATACAATCGCTATCTCGTTTTTATATTCTGAAAACATTGCAGCAGTTTTTTTTTTATATTCTAAAAACATTTCTTTTAGAATTTTTGAGTTTCAACAATGGTGACTGCCATATTTATTAAACTTTCTAGTTGTTATTTAATTTTACTTTTTTTTTTTTTTTTTTTTTTTTTGTAAATAAATGTATGTTATTATAAATATGTTATTCAAAGATTAATCTTTTTTTCAACAATATGAAAAAACGCATCCGCTTACTTCTGTGCGCATTACGCATCTAAAATAACATTTATTTAATAAAATAACAACTTTTACAACTTGAGATTTCAGTAGCATCAATTGTTTAAGGTTGCCCTTTGTTTCTGTGTGACCACGTATTGCAAGATCTTGACGCAGAAGAAACTTTAAGGACAATAGCTCTACTAAAAACATTTGTTATCTTTTAATCTGGCTTTGTTTAACCTACTTTAAAAGTTGACTTGTTACAGATTTTGCCTTTTGATTTATAAACTGGTACTTTTCTAAGGCTTCCCTATGGGAATCACTTGGTTTGTGCTCATTAAATTTAGTAACTGCCTTCTTCCAATTGTCGAATCCTGTTGTCACAAAAACAGGTTCTTTTCTTTAGCTTAAGTCAAGTTTGTTTATACTCTCAATTAACCGACAATAGAAGCAAAATACGTTATACCTTGTTACTCAGAGTGTTGGCCACGACCATTTGTTGTACCACGACTTTTGAAACATTTTAAACTCTTTTGTGTTTACAGTTTGTTTTTTTGTCATTTTAAGTAAACATTCATTATCTGGTTGGCAGGTCTGGGTCATTGAATTGCAACATAGGGCATTACAAAATGATGTAGAGGTTACTGAACCTGACTGTGAGGCCTGTGCACCAGTTATAGTCAACGGATCTTTATTTGTATTTACTCTTAACTGTCTGGTAATAATATCTTGTTGACTTAATTCACTTTCTTGATTAGTATAGATTTATACATTTTTCTGACTGCGACTAGAGGATGCCTCCATCTGTAGGGTATTAGCATCTTTTGACTCCTGTCTGTAAGTAAAAAAAAAAAATACATAGTAAATTTTAAAGCTAAATATTAGGTGCTGTTTTCGATTTTTTTAAATGGATTTTTTAACTACTGTAGAGTTTGAGTAACGAAAATAGAGGTACTCACGTTAGGCTAATACTAAATGCGGTAAGTTTCGTTTGGTAAAAATCCACGATTCGTCTACGCTTTAAAGTCATTGTTAATCGGATAGGTAAGATAATATAAATACTGTAATTTAATATTTTATATTTGGATTAAATTTAATTTTCATTTAGTCAAGCTGAAACAATGTAGTTAGAAAATAACAGTTTGAAAAATTGTATGAACATTAAAAAACTAGATAAAATCGTTATCAATAAACTACAATTTTTTTTTAATTTAACTTAACGTTCTGTTGTATTTTAAAATTGTATTACGTTTTTTTGCATTTCCAACGTTCTATTGCATTGATTTAAATAAAATCAAGATTTATAAACTTTTTGTTTTTAAAATTTAGTCTAGTATGTTTTTAAAATATTAAAGGGTTAAAAAAAGTAACAAGTATGCTTTACTAAAACTACTTTTTATACAACATGTTTTTCAGCGCAATGACTTTACGAAACACTGTATTTATCTTTTGCCAGCACACATTCGTTTAGAAAACAGTAAGTGTGCGGTTGTATCTTAAACAGTTTTATGGATATACTTTTCAATGGAGATGTTTAATTGCGATTGAGTTATTGCAGACTGGAAAATAATAATTCCGCTGTTGATATCTAATAAAAAAAATTATTAAACTGTTTAGGAAATGGTAGGTTTAATGAAGTATCCGTCCCCCAGTGCTTTAGTTAAAGAAGGAAAGCTATTGCCCCCTCCGCCCCATTGTTTCTATGCCACTATCATTAATGACTTCAACTGTAAAGACCTAACTATTTGAGTCAGAATCAAAAATATCATTACTAATTTTTGTGTTTAAGTCATTATGGATGTAGGTTATTATTCCACTTCCCCTTTTGTTAACTTTTTTTTTTTTATAAGAAATAAGATTTCAATTAGTGATTAGGAGGTTTGAATTTGTATAAGAATTTCGTCAGAACACCAAGTATCTGTAAGACAAATCATGCTAAAGGAATATTTGCATTCGATAAGGAAAATTTTTAACTTATCGATATTTGTATTTAAGCTCCTGATGTTTATGTGTATAACCGTAAACTCGTCTATATTGTTATGAAGTTCAGTTTTAAAAGTTTTAGTATCAATGTATGGAGAATCAGGTCCATTAAAAATAAAAAAAATCATCGTAGTATGAATTATTCGCAAAGATATTATATTTAGTTTTCACAAATCGTCTATACTGTTATAAAGGTTTTTGATTTTGATTAAGAATATAACTTTATGTAACGACTGGAGCAAATTATAAATATTTATATGTATAAGAAAGAAAAAAAACTCTTTAACTGCATATTGAGGCTCTTAAACCTCGCGGCCCTGGACCTACTTGTTTGAGGGACAGTAAATTTTGCATACACAGGCCTTGCTGTAGTTAGACCTAAATAGTTTCTTTTTCTAAAAGGTTCTAAATTTTTTACACCCATAAAATACCATAGTTCTTAAAAACAACGCCGGATTAAGACTTGCTGGGTGTGGGGATACTTTTGAAAATACGGCCTTTTTTCTTATTAAAGTGGCAAGAACACCTACAAAAATAAAGCTTCTTCTTGAAAATTTCAGAGCTCCTAAATCTGCAGGACATGGACTTGTAGCCCTCATAAACAATGACTGGTTTAAATTTTTTATCCGTAGTTTTTCAATAATGAAAACGTTTATATAAAATGTCTGTAAAAAGAACTAACAAATTTAATTTACATTTTTGTGAAAATTAACTTCCTCGTGTAAGTAAAAAACAATTAAGTAAAAGAGGTAATCACTAACGTGTAATTTAAAATATTTTTTAACTTTTAAGAAAAAAAATCCTAAAGGTTTTATTTATAAGTATTCAATTTTTATAAACTTATTTAAAAACAATATCTCTGAAATAAAAAGAAAATGTATTTTTTTCTTTAAAAACTAAGTAGAATATGATGTGGAAAATACATTTTTAAGTAATACAAAAACTCAAAGTAGAAAGTATTTTATCGTAACACTCTAAAATTTGAACCCAAACGTCTTTTTTCGTACGGCGTCTTTTTTCAAACTTTTTTTATTATCTAAATAAAAAAAGCAAAAAAATAAAAATGAAGTAAAAAAAGTATGCATTATAAAAATTGAAATTGTTGAGTACAATAAACATAATACAATTAAAATACAATATTAATAAAATAGTTAAACAATGCAATATAATTAAATTTTGTTGAAGTTTTTATAGATAAATAAAATTGGTGCCTCTTGATTGATTTAATTCAATTTTGTTCAATTCAATTCAATTCAATACATTCTGAAATAAGTTGTAAAATTTCAAGGACTTTTACAAATAGTACAAGTACTAATCTAAAGTAAAAATCTACAACATTACAATAAAAAAAACCTACAACATTACAATAAAAAAAACCTACAACATTACAATAAAAGATTTAAAAATGAACAACACACTATATATAGCTTACGATGATGTTGTTTCTTTTGATATCAATCAAGAGACACCAGTTTTACAAAGTTTAATTATATTGCATCGTTTAACTATTTTATACAGCTATATAGCTATATAGCTACTAGCTATATTGTCACTATGATACGACCTATATAGCTAGTAGCTATATAGGTCGTATCTAGTTGTAGCTAGTAGCTATATCGTATACCTATATAGCTACTAGCTAGTAGCTATATAGGTCAATATGTATATAGCTAGTACTCAAAACTTAATTAAAGTATTATATTCCCACCGTGTTGTTTTAACTATGGTTAGAGGAATATTTCATTCAAAACTTAATTGAAATTTTTTGTGTTTTCCATAAAAGTGTAAACCACAAATATTAGAAATAGCAGTTGTACAAAAAAAATTCAGCCGCTAAATTCTAGTAGTTTACCGATAATCTGACCAGAACAAAAGTTACCTAATTATAATTAAATGGTTTTTACAATCCCTGCCACATAGTACTCGAGAAAAAATGTACAGGAAACGGATTTTTTCATGTAAAAGCTTTTAGACATATCCAACAATAAAATAAAGAAAAAACTCAATAGAACTCACCTCTAGGCCTATTACTAACTGTGAAAGCCTTGATGGAACCATCCTGAACTTCATACCATGGATCTCCAGCGTATACGATGATATCTAAAAATTCTTGTGCGTCTAAGTTTTCTACTTCATATACTAATTTGTTATTAATAAGCACAAAAAAAAAAGTTTTTTCCGGTTGAACATTTTGTTCTATATGAACATCTATCCATTGGTCTAGTGGAAGTTGATCGGAATTAAAATATTTATTTTTTTCACCACTTATTGCAAAAGCAATGTGTAACTTTTGCTCAAAAACCCAAATGCCCGGAATTCGATCACCGTAGTATTGATTATCTTCTTCTTTAGTAAAATGAATAACACTTCTATACCCATCTGAAAAATTGTTGAGTTTTAAATGGAATTGAATGGTAAATGATTTTTCTAATTTTGACAGAACCGCAACCAAGTTACTTTTCTTCAATGTCATTTCTTTTAAAAGAAACACATAGCCTAATATAAAGGAAAACCACGTTTAGAAACCGCAATTGAATGATTTCAGGTAAAAATCAAATAAGAAAAACAAATTTATAAAAGAAAAAACATTTTTTCAAAGTTTAGTTAAGTTTAATAAATCTTACTTTTTGCCAAAACAGCTTGTGCTAAAGATTCACCTAAAACACCATGTAAAAAATAGAATCTAAATAAATTATGAAAAAGAAAACCTCTAGTTCGGTTTAAAAAAACAAAAAAGATATGTAAATGACAACTTAATGTGTATTTAAAAGACCCTTTGTAGAAACTAATTTAGGTGCGTTAAACACAACCAGCGAAAAAAGAAATATGAAGTAATACCTGGCTCCCCATTTTCAAGAATTAGATTTTTTATTGATCCATCATGATGTTTATACCAAGGATTTGAAGCAAAAACTTTAACATTGTTAAATTTTTGGGGTTCATTATTTCTTTCGGAAAATACATTCGTTCCATTTAGATAAATTTTGAACACATACTTGCTATAAACGCGTCTCTGACTGACAACAACTTTTGTCCATGCATTGAGAGGAGGTGGTTTAATATATATTTGTGTGGAAATATCTCCATTTATAGGTGCAGCAATGCAAAATAAATAGTTTTTTGTACCATTGCTTCGAAACAAAAATGCTGGAGTTCTATCTCCGATTTCATTAAGATTTCCACCAATTGTGAAATGAAGAACACTATAAATACCAAATGGGTATGACTTTGGCTTTAAATCAAACGATATTTTGTAGGACTTAGCCAATTGAGGAATAGTGGCTACTAATTTCCCTGGTTCTAAACTTGTTTCGTAATTTTCAATCAGATAATCTGAAAAACACACGCAAAAGAGTAAATTTTTAAATTACAACTTAGCAGCCAAACCAAAATAACAACAACATCAAGAATCAATAAGTTTTGATTATTATTTTATAAAGCAAAACCTATGTTCTTACAGATGTTATTTATTCGCTATATTAATTTACTGCTATTCTTTCAAACTAGCAAAAGTGTTTCTATAAACATTTATTATAACAGGATTAAAAAATACGATGCATCTTTATGGATTTTTAAAATTGATTTAGTTTGAAAATAATTATATGGAAGAAAAGGATAAAAAGATGTTTAACGCCGTGATTATTCATTTTTGAAATGAGTGAGAATAAATTTAAATACCTAAACCATGTGTAACCACCGATAGTAAAACAACACCAAGTATGGTTTTCTAAAAAAAAACCTTTACATAAATTACGCTGTTTTTATCAAAACTTATTTTGAAAATAATAGTAAAAAAACTCATTAGGTATAGTTTAGAATTTAATAATACCATTATTTTTTCTATCATTTTCGCAGTGTTTCGCTTTCTCTCTGCCAATCTGCATGTATTCACCAAATGACGCGTCTTTATATATACGAAAAATTTACTGGCGTGTGACCGAAATAATATTCTTTACAATGGTTTTTGTTAAATTAAATTTGCAACTTAATGTATTATTTCATTATCTAAAAATATTTTAATCACCGTTTGACGTAAGTTCATAAATGATAAAAACTCAGTTTGCATAGATTTTTAAAATGAAATTCGCTAAGCCCATTAATGAAACCGTGTCATTATTTTAAAACCAACATTTTTTAGTTGTAAAAGAATAAAATAGACTATTTAAACCCTTTATGTTTTTTTGCAAAAGAAGTTTACCTTTATACTCTTGATTGTCTTTTTATTTTGCCAGCATTCCGTGTATCATGCTGAAAGTTTAATGCATTATGCATTGTTTGTTTCATTATACTAAGGACATAAAACAAGATTTTACGGCCTTGTATATACATAAGTTAAGAGCTTATATTGTATTATATTTTAAATAAAACTACGCAGCAGTTGTTATGTTGAGTCGCATATTTTATACAATTGTGTCTACTAAACTAAAACTGTTTAAACGTACGCAATTTAATGGTTGAATGCAAAATTGGACAACCCTGTGCAGGTAGAACTGCAAAGTTGAAATAGCAGAACTTTGGGCTCATTTTAAAATCATTTTACTGACTGTTTTGTTTATTCGCTACGCAGTTAACTTACTTAACTAAGAATAATATTTCCATAAGGCGACTTATATTTCATTCCTAGTTGCATTTTAAATAAATTTTGTGTAGCTGTTTATTTTCAACAAAACAACATAAAACTTTCTATGCATTTTAAAATCAGTCTTAAACAGATTAAAACCCGTTAACTGCAATTGTATGTGGCAAATAAAGTATTACAAAATGCAAACATTTACCCATCAACAAAGAAAAAGGCGTAAGATGGTGACTAGAACACGATGTTACTTATTACTTTTTATATTATTATTTATTATATTAGCTAAAAAAATATGACTAATTAAACAATTTCTTCAATTTAAATGAAAATGTAAACAGATCTATGGACTGTAAAACTAAAATTAGGATCAACTTTTAAAAAATTTCGAATAAATGAAAGTTTATCTTTAATTTACTTTATTTACTGCTATCTTTAACAGATTAACTTTTGCATAAAAGTTAACAAAGTTTTAAAATCTTTAGAATAGATTTTTTTTTAAGAATGCCGCTCTTCACCACCCAATTCAATGACTTTTTTTTGGATACTTATAACCTTAAGCGAAATCAGTGGTTATTATTATCTTCAAATAAGTGCAAACAGTTAAATTGTAGCAAATAAAATTTATTATTTTAATATTGTTTAAATCATCTACATTCATGTATAAAGTTCTTTTTTACTAGAGATTAATAAATACTAATAAACAAATCTTTATATCAAGACATCTACTTTAAACAGAAAATTTCTATAGTCATTTTACATCAGAATATATAGAAAAGTAAGGAGATTTTCAACGGCTTTATATGATCAACATTGATTTCTGGTTAAGTTTAAATAAAATTCGTATCTTTAAACTTAGGAGCTGCTACAAAGACCATCTTGCAAATGCAAAATATAACCATTTGACAAAATTATACATAAGAAAATGTATAGTGTAAGAAGAGAGGGTGTTATGGCAAACGTTTTTGAGGTCCTAAAAATTTGAAAGTTAATAAGTTTATAAAAATTTGAAAGTTTATAAGAAAGTTTAAAATGCTTTTTCACTATGTTTGTTTTATTATCAAAATAAAATTCCTACATAAGTTTTCAATTTACAAATTCAAAAACATTGTAACAAATATTAAAAAGAAAAATGTATAAATGTTATGTCTGGTCACACGAAGGTAAAAAAGTAACTTATTGTGTGTGTTAACTTTATGACATTTTAAAAACTATTTCCCATTAGAAAAACCGAGCACAAACTATTTTTTGTATTAACACTTATTTTCTAAATGGGTTGTTATATTAAACCCACCGTATTCTGGTCACCATCTTACGCCTTTTTCTTTGTTGATGGGTAAATGTTTGCATTTTGTAATACTTTATTTGCCATACAATTGCAGTTAACGGATTTTAATCTGTTTAAGACTGATTTTAAAATGCATAGAAAGTTTTATGTTGTTTTGTTGAAAATAAACAGCTACACAAAATTTATTTAAAATGCAACTAGGAATGAAATATAAGTCGCCTTATGGAAATATTATTCTTAGTTAAGTAAGTTAACTGCGTAGCGAATAAACAAAACAGTCAGTAAAATGATTTTAAAATGAGCCCAAAGTTCTGCTATTTCAACTTTGCAGTTCTACCTGCACAGGGTTGTCCAATTTTGCATTCAACCATTAAATTGCGTACGTTTAAACAGTTTTAGTTTAGTAGACACAATTGTATAAAATATGCGACTCAACATAACAACTGCTGCGTAGTTTTATTTAAAATATAATACAATATAAGCTCTTAACTTATGTATATACAAGGCCGTAAAATCTTGTTTTATGTCCTTAGTATAATGAAACAAACAATGCATAATGCATTAAACTTTCAGCATGATACACGGAATGCTGGCAAAATAAAAAGACAATCAAGAGTATAAAGGTAAACTTCTTTTGCAAAAAAACATAAAGGGTTTAAATAGTCTATTTTATTCTTTTACAACTAAAAAATGTTGGTTTTAAAATAATGACACGGTTTCATTAATGGGCTTAGCGAATTTCATTTTAAAAATCTATGCAAACTGAGTTTTTATCATTTATGAACTTACGTCAAACGGTGATTAAAATATTTTTAGATAATGAAATAATACATTAAGTTGCAAATTTAATTTAACAAAAACCATTGTAAAGAATATTATTTCGGTCACACGCCAGTAAATTTTTCGTATATATAAAGACGCGTCATTTGGTGAATACATGCAGATTGGCAGAGAGAAAGCGAAACACTGCGAAAATGATAGAAAAAATAATGGTATTATTAAATTCTAAACTATACCTAATGAGTTTTTTTACTATTATTTTCAAAATAAGTTTTGATAAAAACAGCGTAATTTATGTAAAGGTTTTTTTTTAGAAAACCATACTTGGTGTTGTTTTACTATCGGTGGTTACACATGGTTTAGGTATTTAAATTTATTCTCACTCATTTCAAAAATGAATAATCACGGCGTTAAACATCTTTTTATCCTTTTCTTCCATATAATTATTTTCAAACTAAATCAATTTTAAAAATCCATAAAGATGCATCGTATTTTTTAATCCTGTTATAATAAATGTTTATAGAAACACTTTTGCTAGTTTGAAAGAATAGCAGTAAATTAATATAGCGAATAAATAACATCTGTAAGAACATAGGTTTTGCTTTATAAAATAATAATCAAAACTTATTGATTCTTGATGTTGTTGTTATTTTGGTTTGGCTGCTAAGTTGTAATTTAAAAATTTACTCTTTTGCGTGTGTTTTTCAGATTATCTGATTGAAAATTACGAAACAAGTTTAGAACCAGGGAAATTAGTAGCCACTATTCCTCAATTGGCTAAGTCCTACAAAATATCGTTTGATTTAAAGCCAAAGTCATACCCATTTGGTATTTATAGTGTTCTTCATTTCACAATTGGTGGAAATCTTAATGAAATCGGAGATAGAACTCCAGCATTTTTGTTTCGAAGCAATGGTACAAAAAACTATTTATTTTGCATTGCTGCACCTATAAATGGAGATATTTCCACACAAATATATATTAAACCACCTCCTCTCAATGCATGGACAAAAGTTGTTGTCAGTCAGAGACGCGTTTATAGCAAGTATGTGTTCAAAATTTATCTAAATGGAACGAATGTATTTTCCGAAAGAAATAATGAACCCCAAAAATTTAACAATGTTAAAGTTTTTGCTTCAAATCCTTGGTATAAACATCATGATGGATCAATAAAAAATCTAATTCTTGAAAATGGGGAGCCAGGTATTACTTCATATTTCTTTTTTCGCTGGTTGTGTTTAACGCACCTAAATTAGTTTCTACAAAGGGTCTTTTAAATACACATTAAGTTGTCATTTACATATCTTTTTTGTTTTTTTAAACCGAACTAGAGGTTTTCTTTTTCATAATTTATTTAGATTCTATTTTTTACATGGTGTTTTAGGTGAATCTTTAGCACAAGCTGTTTTGGCAAAAAGTAAGATTTATTAAACTTAACTAAACTTTGAAAAAATGTTTTTTCTTTTATAAATTTGTTTTTCTTATTTGATTTTTACCTGAAATCATTCAATTGCGGTTTCTAAACGTGGTTTTCCTTTATATTAGGCTATGTGTTTCTTTTAAAAGAAATGACATTGAAGAAAAGTAACTTGGTTGCGGTTCTGTCAAAATTAGAAAAATCATTTACCATTCAATTCCATTTAAAACTCAACAATTTTTCAGATGGGTATAGAAGTGTTATTCATTTTACTAAAGAAGAAGATAATCAATACTACGGTGATCGAATTCCGGGCATTTGGGTTTTTGAGCAAAAGTTACACATTGCTTTTGCAATAAGTGGTGAAAAAAATAAATATTTTAATTCCGATCAACTTCCACTAGACCAATGGATAGATGTTCATATAGAACAAAATGTTCAACCGGAAAAAACTTTTTTTTTTGTGCTTATTAATAACAAATTAGTATATGAAGTAGAAAACTTAGACGCACAAGAATTTTTAGATATCATCGTATACGCTGGAGATCCATGGTATGAAGTTCAGGATGGTTCCATCAAGGCTTTCACAGTTAGTAATAGGCCTAGAGGTGAGTTCTATTGAGTTTTTTCTTTATTTTATTGTTGGATATGTCTAAAAGCTTTTACATGAAAAAATCCGTTTCCTGTACATTTTTTCTCGAGTACTATGTGGCAGGGATTGTAAAAACCATTTAATTATAATTAGGTAACTTTTGTTCTGGTCAGATTATCGGTAAACTACTAGAATTTAGCGGCTGAATTTTTTTTGTACAACTGCTATTTCTAATATTTGTGGTTTACACTTTTATGGAAAACACAAAAAATTTCAATTAAGTTTTGAATGAAATATTCCTCTAACCATAGTT